CAGTACTATTCTTGATAGAAGGGAATGATTTCTGAATTGTTTTCTTAAGAAATGTCGTTGGCTTTGAAAGACCCAGGAGGTGGAGTGGGGTGGGTAGCAGATAGGAGATGGCAGTGGTAGAACATCCTTTGCAAAAAGTGGGCTGGGTTCACTTGCTGTTACCTTGCTGCCATTTTCATTTCAAACTCCCAGGATGTTAAAAACTAAGTTAAGGCACCAGAAAATTTTAAGTCTCTCCTTTCTATAACTCTTGACCTTTTCTTAGTGACATATGTAACTTAATCAGTCCCTGGAGGTCAACAACCAGGGAATAATTACAGAAGAGATAGGGAAAACAAAAAGAGACGATAGTAGAAAACCAATCCAAGGACCCCTGGAACCCCTCCTACTCCCATGAGCAGAGCCTTCATTTTCAGAAATGACCAAATGTTACTAAGCCATCTCTCTCTCATCCAACGGTCCCTCTGGATAACAGAACAAGACCCTGTTTCTAAAACCAAAAACAAACAAAAACACAATTATTTTGTGTTAGCTGCCCTGCCCTATCCTACCCTAATAAAATATTTAACTCTATACTTCCTACATGGAGAAGACGCAATACTATCCTTGATAGAAGGGAATGATTTCTGAATTGTTTTCTTAAGAAAACACCCCACCCTCCGTCCTCCACAGACACTTGTCACCTTGGTAATTAACTAAGGGGGAAAATCTGCACATAGGTGAGAAGAGAGTTATATCCCCAGTCTCCACAACTATTATGCAAGTATCTAAATGTGAATGCCCAATCAAGCCCCAAAATGCTTCATTGGGGGAAAAAACAAAACAAAACAAAGAAAATCTGCAGATGTCCCTTCTAAATCAAAGGTGAGAGACAACTTCCACTATGCCACTCTGGATCAGCAACTATGTATTAACCTATGTATTCAACACTTGAATATGCTTATTCTATATATTCCTATATGTGCACACATATAGATCTTTGTTCTGCCTATATTAAAAAAGGTTAGTGTTTAAGAAGCCCTTGTCTTCAACCACCAAAGTAACCAAATCATTTCCTGTCTTTAAGTAAGGTCTCCTCCACAAGTAACACGGATCATACATCCATCCTTCCACTCCAGCTACTAATAGAGCTTCACAGAAAAATAAAAAATAAAATGATGGTAATTTTTAAAGTTATACATCTAAACACTCATCTGTAAAACAAAATCAAAGCAAGCTGAATACAGGTTTCAACAAACCCCAAATCTCATCTCCAAACTCTGATGAACTTTCAACCAAATAATCTTAAAATTACAGTTCAACACAGCCATTGCTGTTATAGAAAAGTAGAATATGCCCAATACAAATGTCTTCATAAACTAACTCCAGAGGCCCAGGAAGGGCTCAGACAAAGCACTCCTCCAAACCAAAGCACTCTAAGATTGACTACATGCACCCAGATTTTCTTTTTCTTTTTCTTTTTTTGAGTTGGAGTCTCACTCCATCGCCCAGGTTGTAGTGCAGTGGCACACCCACTGCCACCCCAGCGTCGACCTGCTGGGCTCAGGTGATCCTTCCACTTCAGTCTGGAACTACAGGTGCACACCACACTTGGCTAATTTTTTTTATTTATTGTAGAGATGAAGTCTTGCCAAGTTGCCCAGGCTGTTCTCGAACCCTTGCACTCAGGCAATCCCTTTACCTCAGCCTTCCTAAGTGCTGGAATTACAGACTTGAGCCAGCACCCAGATTTTCTAACTTAATGATAGGGCTGAGTGTTTAAATACACAGAAGAGTGAAAAGCACTATAACTATGTTTACCAAAGGAGGTGAAGGTCTAAATGAGAAGCCTTCAGGAACTATCAGAAATACAGAAATATCAGCACATAGGCATCAGTTTACAAAATGAAACTGCTATCAAATCCCAGAAAATGAGCTGGAGCTCACGTTGAAATCTAGGCAAACAAGTAACTGTCCTTCCTCTACATCCCTAAATGCAAGGCTCTGCAGAGTTAACTAAATCTATTGTCTGTTGCAACTAGCACTAAATCAATAAATATTTTAAAGACATGCTCCATAAAGACATGAAAATAATTTTCCACCACAAATAAACAATGTGTAAAGAGACTCCCTTCATATGTGAGGAATACATTCCGGCAATCTCAGCTAATAAGGACACCCTGAGAAAAGACATTTTTGTATCTTTTGAGATGATGGAAATCTTACTGAAGGCCCCAAAAAACAAGGCATTAAAAATAAATTAGACCAGTGGTTCTACATCTTGACCATATATTAGAGTCACTCAGAAGCTGTTTAAAAAAATCCCAGTGGAAGCCAGGAGTGGTGGCTCATGCCTACAATCTGAGCACTTTGGGAGGCCAAAGTGGAGAAATGCTTGAGCACAGGAGTTCAAGACTAGCCTAGGCAACATAGGGAGACCTCATCTGTAAAAAAAAAAATCAAAAAATTAGCTGAGCATGGTGGCACACACCAGTAGTTCCAGTTACTTAGGAGGCTGAAGCAGAAGGAACACCTGAGCCCAAGGGGTCAAAGCTTCGGTGAGCCCTGATTGGGCCACTGCACTTCAGCCTCCAGCCTGGGTGACAAGAGTGGGATCCCAACTCATAAATAAATAAATAAATAAGAGGATATGATATGATATAAATATAATAAAAAATAAAAATCCCAATGGTCAGGTACACATTACATCAATTACATCAGTATCTCTGGAGACGAGACTCTGGCATCATTAGCTTTTGAGTTACCAAGGTGAACTGTAATATACAGCCATGACTTGGAATGACATCTTCACCTTAGCATGGTTGTGGGCCCTTGATATGCTGGGACAAGAAGTGTTTGTCTCAAACTAAAATTAACACTAAGATGGAATTCTGTACAAGCCACCCCACCTCAAAGGGTCTGAGGACCATGCACACCCAGGCTCCCCCCTAAAATGTAACACTGATAAGGCAGGGTCCAGATGGCACCTTAGCCTGTATTTTGGGGAGCACCTCCCTGGCAGAAATGTGAGAGACACTGGAAACAGGTTGAGACATGAACTGACACATGGGCCCAGTTGAGCCATATCAGCTAGGAATGGTGTTGTTTTCAGGACACTATGCAGTCCTGTGTGACTCTTTGAGGGAAAATGTACAACTCCTTAACAAAATATATACAAATCTAATCACCTAGACAACCCCAGATATAAAGGCAAATATAATATAAGTGGCTAAATTCAACTGATAAATGCATCTTGTATTTAGGGTGCCTGTTCCTGAATTCAAAATATAAAACATACCTCTATATTATTTATAACTACACAGAAAAAAACAGAAACTTAGAGGACACATTTCCTAACTGTTGCTCCACTCTTGATAAAGCCAGAAAATTCACTTTATCTAAATAAAAATATGTCCTCAATGTTTGTTTTTCATTATTATAGTCCTTTATTTTATTTTTATTATTACTATTTTTAGAAAGCAGGGTTTATTGAGAGGACAGAAAAGCGTCCACAGTGGGAGACCCGAAGGGGTTGCCCCAGTCTTTTATTTTTATGCACACATTTCCTACAATAATCTTGACCTCTCCTCACTTATGTTTTTTCCTTTTTTTATTTATGTAGCATAGGCTAAACATTCTTTGACCACTGATTTTTTTTTTTTGGCAAATCTCTTTATTTTTATACAATATTCTACCATTTTTTAACTTTTAATTTTTGTATTTTAAAGATGTGGGGTACAATTCAGGGTTAGGTATACAAATGTTCATTATGCAGGTACCCTTGTTGATGAGATGTGCCCCCCCATTCCCCAGGCAGACTCCAACTACTGCCAATCCTGCCTCCTCGTCCCCCTCCTGGCAGTTTCCCGCTATGGCCAATCCTTTTCTTACAGTATTATGATAATTGTTCAAGGTCCGCTTATGAGTGAGATAATGTGATACTCAGTTCTTTGTTTCTGTGAAAGATCACCCATTATTATAGACTCTAAGTCTATCCAGATTGCTGTGAAGTTCATGATTTTGTTCTTCATTATGGCTACATAATATTCCATCATGTGTATGTCCTCAACGTTTGCCACTGATACCCTCTAGGTTTCCCTACTCTAAATCCAGCTTTAGATACTGTGGCATGGCTTCATTGAAAAGTAAACTGATGGAAATGGATAGAGCAGAGGTGTTTTTAAAAACCTCACTGAAATCAACGCATATTTATTTCGAAATATTTAAAGGCACAGATCTACAAAAAAAGCTTAAATAAAAAGAAAATCAAACATATTGTAGACTTTTTAAAGATAATGTTTTAAATAACAGGAACATGTTAAAGCATAAATTTGGAAAGGCAGAAAAAAGCCATAAAAAGATATTCAAAAATTTTATATATGTGTGTGCATATACATATATAAAATTTCTGAATATCTTTTTATACACACAAACACACACACATATATATATACAGCACATACAATTTTGGTTTTTTTTTAAATTGGAGTCTCACTCTGACATCCTGGCTAGAATGCAGTGGCATACTCACAGGCACCACAGGCTCGACCTACTGGGCTCAGGCAAATCTTTCTGCCTCAGCCTTTTAAGAAGCTGGAACTACAAGTGCACATCACAATGCCAGACTAATTTTTCAATTTATTGTAGAGATGAGGTCTCACCAAGTTGCCCAGGGTGGTCTCGAACCCCTGTGCTCAGGCAGACCTCTCACCTCTACCTCCCAAAGTGCTGGGCTTACAGGCATGAGCCACCACATCCAGCAAAAATATATATTTTAAAGAGCACTCATTAAAAAAAACAAACAAAAAACCCGGCTAACTTTATAACTCTGAATGCAGGCTTTGAGTCACTGATGCTATTAGGCAGGAGGCCCTTAATCATGTTCCTCAGACTCTCTGGAGGTTCTGAAGCCCAGCTGGCAAGTTCAAATTCAGATCTGCACATGTTAGCTATGTGAGCTCACTTAACCTCTCTAGACCTGCCTGTCTCCTCTGTAACACTGAAAGAAAAATAGTACCTACCTCCTATGTGGAGACACTGGAACTCCTATGCACTGCTGGTGAGAATGTAAAATGGTGCAACCACTGTGGAAAACAGTACGGAGAGTCCTAAAAAAATAAAACACAAAATTACCATATGATCTAGCAGTTCCAATTTTGGGTACACATCCCAAATAGTTGGAAGCAGGGTCTTGAAGAGATATTTGTACACCCATGTTCACAGCAGTCTTATTCACAATAGCCAAGAGGTAGACGCAATCCAAGCCCTGTGTACATCAGTGTATGAATGGATAAGTAAAATATGGCATATCCACACAAATGAATAGTATTTGATCTTAAAAAGGAAAGAAAATTCTGGAATATGCTACAATATGGTAAACCTTAAAGATGCTATGCTAAGTGAAATAAGTCAGGCACTGCATGATTCTACTCCTGTGAGGTACTTAGAGTAGTTAAATTCATAGAGACAGAAAGTAGAATCGTGATTGTCTGGAGAAGGTGGGAAGGAAAAATGGGGAACTATTATTTAATGGGTATAGAGTTTCAGTTTGGGAAGATGAGAAAGTTCTGGAGATGGATAGTGGTGATGGTTGCACAACATTGTGAATGCACTTGATGCAAGCAAACTGTACACTTAAAATGGTCAAAATGATCATTCTTCTTTGTAGATTCTGTCACAATTTTACAAATAAAGTAAGTAAGAAAGAATAGTACCTACCTCCCAGAGTTGTAGTAAGGATTCAACACATGTGAAGTGTTTAAAGTATGCCTGGCACAGAGTAAGCCCTCCATAGATAATGCTACTAACTTATTTTCCTGCTTTGTAGATCCCTACAGTCCCCACCATAGTGTTTTACATGAAAAAATGCTCACTGACTAGACTTGGATTCTCCCCCTTGGAGCTATATACATTCTGCAATGAAACATTTCCAGCCCTGGGCTTCCTTCCAGCATAAACACTCTTTCATTTCAACAAAACTCCCACTGCAATCAGATGATGAAGAAGCCACCTAATTTCTAAACTGAGTCTTCTCATTACATAAAGCTGAGATGTCCACCTAGAAAACAACTAATTTTATTGTCCTTATTTCCTAAGTAGTTTGTTAATAATTTTGACTCAAAAATAGGTTTATAGGCTAACATCGTCATGCAAATCTGATAGTGGAGAGAAGAAAGTCCCCTGCTAATCATACATATTCTTTCACTTTTTATCATAACCAAGACTTTTTACTTCTTTGCTTGATTGCTTTAAACACGTTTTATTAAATTTTCAAGCATACACAAAAGTAGAGCTCAACCAGCCCCCACACAGTTTCACAAACAATTTTAACCCTTTTGACTCAAACACACTGCCTCTAAATTCTCAAAAATATAAAAATAAAAAAGAGTAACACCACAACAGTTACACTGAAACAATTTCCATCTCTAACAATGGTCATCATCATCATCATTATTTTAATTTTCTTTTACGAATTCTTTTTTGATATTGTCTCACCTCCTCTCATTTCTTCCTTAATATATATAAATAATATCTACCTTGCCAAGGTTATTGTGCAGATACCACATCTATATAAGTACACAGCTTGGTATGTGGCATGTATCATTTTCTTAAGAAATACTAGGTCTCTCTAGACAGCTTACTGCCTTGTTCCACTCTCTAAGATACACACACACACACACACACACACACACACACACACACACACAATCCCACCCACAAATCCTTCTCCATTCTTTGTTCCTTACTCTTCCTTTCCCTTCCTAAACACTGGTCCTAACTTACTTCCTGCCCCTTCCACCTCTTTCTTAGCCAGGGATTCCAAACTCAAATGCCTAGTCGCAAATCTAATTAACTACAAGACCCCAGATATAAAGGCAAATATAATGTGGCTTAAGTCAACTGACAAATGCATTTAGCATTTAGGATACCTGTGCCTGAATTAAAAATATAAAGCATATATCCATGTTATTTATAACTATACAGAAAACCAGGCTAGACACTGGATTGCATAATAATCACAAACAGGAAATTGTATGCAGGTCATCCCTGCGTGTACATGCATGTGTGTTTGTATTTTAAACATTAAAACTTCTTTTTTGATGATCTAAGAAGTTTTATATGCTAATGAGATTCATTTCCTTCCAGTACTTCTCACCTGTGGTAGACCTGCCACCTCTAATTTGTTTTAAAAGGAATTCTAATCATCCAATCAATCATGCTTCTGACCTTCAGCCTTCACAGTGACTTCACTGTGGTCAAAATTGGCTCTAAAAATTTGTGTTATATCAGTTCTGTTGCCCTCAGATTCCAAAATGCCAATGACAGGAATATAATTTGAGCGAATCATCTGATAGAGAAAAAACTGGTATATGGAGTTTCTAATTTGTCTTCTACCAAGATTCTTTAACTAAAAGTAAATATCTATGATATTATTAAGTAATATCTTTCCCTACATTAGGACTTAAAGACCATACATTATTCAAGTTTCTATGTAGTGAATCTAGTCTCTTCACCACAAAAAACACATGGCCCAGTTTGGGTTTTAAATAACTTCTTTTACAATATAGCTGTACAAAATGACCAAGTAATAATCCTTCCAATCCCCACCCCTTCCCCTTCGAGCATACATGCAACCTTAACTACATTTTTCCTGCTTTTCTGTTTACATCCTACATCAAGACAAGAGGAAGCACTCTTCCTGCCTAGCAGAATTCTAGTTTCTACTCCACCACACCACTGGAGCTATTTTCAACAATGTCACCAATGGTCTCCTATTTACTCAATCTAATAGCCACTTTTCAGTGTTTTACCTTGAACTCTCTACAGCATTTGACACTATTGTTTGCACCTTCTTCAAAACTGTGCCTTCCCTCAGTTTCTATGGTCTCTCTTCTGGCGTTCTTCCCACCTCTCTGAAGATGCCTACTCAATCTCCTTCAAGGATCCTCCAATCGTCCCTATCATTCAGTGACCCAAGAGTTCCATCTCTGGTAACCTTCTCTTTTCCCTCTGCTACATAACCTTTCTTGGTCCCGTCTACTTTCAAATATATTTTGCTTCAATTGTCAATTACATGCCAAGGTCCCCTAAAACTCTGTATTTCCAAAGCCAGTCTCCCCCCGGAGATCTAGTCCACATGGGTACCTGTCTTTGCAGACTTCCCCACGTTGGTGTCTCTCAGGCACTTTACTTAACACACCCCAATTCTAATACCACCTCATATATTTGCTACCTGGGTGAAGACTACCAACCAGCACTTGATTATCCTATCCAGAAAACTGGGAGACATTCATTAGTCCTCCTTCTCCTTTATTCCTCATACCCAGAGACCAGGTCTGATTGCTTCTAAATCCCAAATCTCTCTGGAATTTTTCCATCTCTCCATTTTGTTCATTGCTGCTAGTTCAGAACTTCATCATCTCTCAACCACATTACCAAAATATACCACAAATACAGTTCTCTGCCACCAATCAGTACATGTGCCTTTGACCAGCTCTCCAGGCTGCTGGTAAAATGGTCTAAAACACAACACTTACAAGATCACTTTTCTGCTTAAAACTCTCCAGAAAAATTTAGTCTTCTACCCTCGTAATTTATTTCCTGAATATCTGACCAACCTCATGTCTCATCATCAACTTCATCCAGAAGCACAGGTCCATACAAACATAGTTCCCTCAGTCAAGGAAAGTCCTCCCATTCTTTGCCTCCCTACTTCTTTGCCTAGTTAACTCCTACTCATCCTGATAATCTCCCTGAGAAAACCTCTGACTTGACCTGTCTGGGTTAGGTAACCGTCCTTTCTATCTCACAGCACCTATCTAGCATTGATCATCCATATTACAGATTTTTGTTATAGTGGTTGACTTATTAGTCTCTCCCACTAGACTATGCACTCTTTAGAAGAAGAAAATATGTCTTATTGGACTTTGTATAAATAACTATCACATATTTGTAAAATTCACAAATAAGTATTCATAAACCTCATTTTTCACCAAATATATTCAAGATTTAATCCTAAGGATAAATAAATATCTCACTAATTATCAGTACCAGAGAGACTAAGTGGTTGTTTTTCATCAGAGACCTCAGACTTCATTTTCTTACAAATTATAAAAGTCAAAGGGGAGTCTTTCTCCATACTGAAGAGTTTAGGAAGTTGGGATCACCACCGGCCTCTTAAGCCTCATCACCCACCTCCTGCCCAACCCTCCAGCATCTCGCCTTCAGAGAAGTACCTTAAGCAGCACTGGATTTTGGAAAAGAGATTAGACAGTGTTCAACCTATTCAAAATTAGCATCCTACCAAAATCCCAATGATAAATGAAAGAATCAAAGTTAAGCAACAGCTCCCTATGCTAGATAAAGCCAAGTTCCTTATATTAGATAATGTCAACAAGACTGAACAAGCAAAATAACTGAGCACTTAGTAGGTAAATACAACCAAGCCTTTTGCCTAATGGTAAACATACATGACACCATAGGGTTTCTATACCTATTTCTTTAGTGTACAATAGTGTAAAGGATAAAAGTAGATTCTTTTGTGTGTGTATGTGTGTGTGTGTCTGTCATAGCCTCAAGAATGTTCTAGAGGTTCGTATTTATTGGCAATGGACCTAGATTCCTACCGGTAAGCACATATCAGCCCTGGGCCATTGGCAGGAAAATCAGTATCCTCCTCTCCCTTTAACTCAGTCTCCGTTAATCCAGCAACTCAAATCCCTCCTACTCCCACCTGTTGTCCAAAGAAAATAAAATAGCTCAGGGACATGATGTGTTTGCTCTCAACAGTCAGCTAAGTCTCAAAGCTGGAGGGTAGCAGTATTTCAAGTTCTGCCCATTCCGTTCCAACCAATAAAAAATAAACAGAGGCAGAAGGTGGAGAGCAAAGATACTGGCAGCCCTGAACCTTGCTAGACCTTTATAGCTGTGTCTCTGGACTTGTAGGCCACATCTCTACTTTCCAGTCCCCACACAATTCCTTGAGGCAGACGACCAGTGAATGACACTGCTACACACCTGGCTTAAAGTTACTGACTCACTGCCACTTGGAGACCCAGCTGTCCTCTGGACTCATCATCATAATGATCCCATCAAAG